GTTAGAGGATTCGTCCAAGAGGTGCGGGGTCGGTATTGAAGAAGCCTCCTCCCTTATGACAATGTCTCGAGAGGGACCTTCTACTTGAATTGGTTGAGGATGACCCCCTCGAACAGACTCATTCAAAGTAAACTGCATTCCCACGGCAGCGACGACCTGTTGGAATGCAGGGATTGACGCCCTCCGCTTGGAAGCTCCTCGACCTGTCGTCATGAATAGTCGTATCAATAAACGATGACATATAACCACCAAAGTGATAAGGGGAAACATTTACCAGATGGAACTCTCGGGCCATAACGTTTTATGAAGGCGAGCCAATTTCGGGTTTCCGTTGCATAGGGCAATAGACGGGCTACCTAATCCCTTATGCCAGAAATAGAGCGGGGCGGATGTCCCATAGTTGAAACGATTAGCAAACAAACCCTATAATGAATATAGACGAAGGAAGAGTAAAATGAGTGGCGACACTTACGAGTCTCGTTGCACCGCTCCGGGAACCTGGCGGAGTCAGAAACAATGTGTTCAGTTTTGACAAAGAAATACTTATGCCAAAACTTGCAACTTGCTCGATCGTCAGTCCCAACCGCCAACCCTTTTGTGCCACGGTGCCTCAAATGCACCATAGTACCCCTGTGAAAGCTGGGCGAGAACAAGTGTAAGAGGCAGTGGATAGAAATATCGCATTCCGCCAACTCCACATACTTGGTCAACAACAGAAGTATCTTAAGCATATATGGCTAAAGTTGTGCTAGGCAAACTTGGTAGAACCTACAGAACTCTTCCGCTAATGGGAGGAGGGGGAAAGAATGGCCAATCACGAAAGGGTACTCGTAGAAAGTGCAGTACTCAGGTCTGTGGACCTCTACGAAATCCCTTCCTGCTGGAACCATGTCAACATGAGCGGGAATGCTATACTTTTCACGAAGAGCGTCAATGTGAACTTGTTCCGTCTTAGAGAGTACGAATATAGGAGTAGAAGGGGGATCTTTGAGGAAGTCACTTCGAGACATGGGGTGTCTCGGCAGTAACTCCTCCACCGTAGGAAGACTATCACCTTTTTCTACCACCATATCCTCACCGCCTGAAAGGGGGCGCTATGGAAAACGAGGCGGCCTCAGAAACCCCTTCATGAGATCGATGTGATCTTGGCATGCTTTCGTTAAAAGAGGTAGTGACACAAAAGGGAAATAGAAGGTTGTTAGGACAAACTCGGAGGATGAGGAGGGGTAATCAGAAATGAAATGGCCAAGAATTTTCGAAAAAACAAACCCTCCACCTATTTATAGGATTGGGTGTTGCCAGAATCAAAACGGAAGGTTGCAGTGTGGCACCAAAATCGAAGCGACAAGCCATCAATTCCTATCTCAAAAACACGCATAATGATGACGCACGTGAGGATGACATCATTTCCCTGTAAAATGCATTACCTGGTGTCTTGCTAAGCACGCTGACCGCCCACCATTGTCCAGGTCGTAATGCCTCGTAGGGTCAAATTTCTCAGTAAGAACTCATGGTGTCCGCTCATCTAGGACGCACTAAGTTTCAACCTCGACAAGCTGAAGGACTAACTGTATGGGTCCAAATTTTAACAACCATGATCGTTGATGAGTACGACGAATGACGAGATCCTCGAAGTTCGACATCCTGCAGAGGATGACCTTAAAGCGAACAAGAGACTATACGACCCTTACAGTAGGGCATGCCCATCAGGGGACCTTAAGAATATTCTTTCGAATATTCCCTATAACTTGTCTTTTAGAGCTTAGAAGGGTTTGATCCCTTATATATATAGAGTGTAAAACAACCTTGGAGGGGGCTCTGGACATCCTTCGTAACTCATAATACTTGCTGTAAACTCGTTTACACAAAGGATTGATTGGGTTATTATTTAAGTTTCTTTTTGAAGAGATAAAGAGATATTATCCTCTACATTCTCCTGGTTTATATTTTGTTCTAGAGATTATTATGCTTAGCTAAGATTTACCCCTTCATTTTCTTTGATTGATTTATTCAAAAAGGTTCCGATATCTTTTGAGTCAAACAGTGGAAATGCTGCTCTCTTTTCATTTGCTTTACATTACTGAAATTAGGGATTGAGAGATAGAGAGAGACGTAGAGAGAATTCCCAATTCTTTGCAACAACCCCCAATTCAAACACATAATATTTTTTGAAAACCCAAATTCGAATTCAAAGCTTCAAAGTTTTTAATGGTTGTCAATGGTGGAATCGTGGGTGAGTGCACGATACGTGGGGGAGGGGCGTGAGATGTGGAGAGAGAAACGTGGGGGGAGTGGAAGATACGTTAGAGTTATTTTAGGACTCTAATTATTATCAATAATTCCCTTAAAATGTACATAAATGATAATTGGGTATATAAAATATTATTATAGTAAAATTTAAATAGGGAAGGTAATATAATTTCATATATTATATAGAAATGTAAAAATCTCTAGATTTTTTCCATTTCGTGTCGCCTGGAGACTTATGGCCCGTAATTGGCAGGACACATAATATCCATTTTTAGGGTGTTGGTTAAAATATACTTCGTGTTTGTTTACTCATATATACATGTGATAACTTGTCCCAGTTGAAAACGGTTCACTTGAAAAAGAGAGACAGAGGAAGATCAAGCCGTTCTTATTATGATGAACTTCACCTTTGAAGTCTATCGTTCGAAATGTGTGCAATATTTGCATCTATACTCGCTTTTTGGGTCATGTTTTAATTTGTGCTCTTTTTATAAAAACAAATTGCAAGCGTATCCATTTTTTCGCGTAACTTCAGCATACGACGCTGGAGTAAGGCAATCACGCAAAACTTCAGCATTCTAGTAGACGGGTCTGAAGTAGCAAAAGTTGTTGAACCAAGTGTGCTGAAGTTTTTGTTTGTAATTGCTGAACTTAAGCATAGTAGCTGAAATTTTGTTCTCTATTTGCTGAAGTTTTTGTTTGTAATTGCACTAAATAAGCTGGAGTTTTTTTGTCCTGGATTCATTAGTTTTTTCATTAAGCTTTTTCAAAAACTTCAGCAGAAGATGCTGAAGTTATTTAGTTTATTTATAAAAACTTCAGCACTAAAAAGCTGAAGTTTTTTTGTACTGGATTCATTAGTTTTGCCATTAAGCTTTTTCAAAAACTTCAGCAGAAGATGCTAAAGATCATTTATAAAAACTTCAGCACTAAATAAGCTGAAGTTTTTGTCCTGGATTCATTAGTTTTGTCATAAAGTTTTTTAAAAAATTTCAGCAGAAGATGCTAAAGTTATTTAGTTCATTTGTAAAAACTTCAACACTATATAAGTTGAAGTGTTTGAAAAAGCTTTCTAACGTACTAGATAAACAATCAGATTACCAACAGTATCTAAATCATAAATTTTGAAAACAATAAATGTGAAAAGAACAGAATTATCATGAAAAGAATCACTAAGTGTGACCTTAAACTTCCCGTACGTGGAAATATTCACAAATTATTGTCTACTAACTTACGTAATTATTTATAATTTATTTTTAAATAATCTGATAATAACAATCATCCCATGAACTGAAGTTTCATAGCAGCACCAACAACAGCAGAAGAAGAAGAAGAAGAAGAAGAAGAAGAAGAAGAAGAAGAAGAAGAAGAAGAAGAAGCAGAAGAAGAAGAAGAAGAAGAAAACAAAGGAGGAGAAGAAAGGGTGTTGAAGTTGTTTAAAAAGTGGGTACAAGTTAAAACTTTTAAAAAAAATGAGTATAAGTTAAATGTGGGCGACCAAATAAGACGCCCCTGACAATTTTTACGTTTGTCTATGGTTCAGAAAATGTGACCAGTATTTGGTTTATACTGTTTATCTTTCATGAACTAATATTATAAATGAATTTTATACTATCAAATCACATAAAAAAATAGTACTAATAATTATTTGTAACTATTCATAAAATCAAGATAGTAATTTGAAAAATTATGCACATTACATGCTACAGCAGAACTAAGTAGACGTTTGGACATAAAAATGGTAATTTTTGAAAATAATAGTATTTGGAGTTAAGCTGAAAAATTGTATTTGGAATTTAAAATTATGTTTGTATATGTATTTTACTTGAAAAATGTTATAGTTTTGTGAGTGGAGAAAAAAATTCTAAATATTTTAAAAAAGTGATTTTATTGAGAAAAATTTCCAAAATTTCATAGACAAACATATTTTTTTTAAAAAGAATTTTCTTATGCCTAAAATACACCTCTACCAATAAGAGATTAGAGAAAGGAGGAAGAAAGTTTGTTGGTAAAGGTTATCACTGATTGGACCATAAGAATATGCCAAAAGCATTTAATAGGACACTACGTACGACCTAGGGAAAACTAGACATGAGATCGAGTTGATGCTTTCAAGATACCAGTATCATACTACTAATTATACTGCTCCGAAACCTAGTACGATGGATTAATATACAATGCCAACTGTTGTATGACATGAAGCCAATTAGTCTAAGGAAATATCCTTTCGGCCACACCGATTTTGGCTAGATTGACCCAAATAGGGTTATTTAGGTAATTTTACGTTCTAATTAGGGTTTCAGCCGAATTTTTATACCCAAAATACCCTTTCAGTAACCTTTTGAATATTTTTTCTCTCACCATTAAATATTTATCTTCTTAATACATGGAAGATCTCAAGGGTTCAAACCCTATTTTCCATAAACCTTTTTTTTAACGTATTTCCATCCTTTTTTTTGGGTAGTATACACCCATATAATTCGAAATAAATCATCTTTATACATGTATTTAATTGTGTATTTCATATATGTGTGTGTATTTCGTATATTTTTTAGTAGGTCTTCAAAGCCCTGCTATTTAAACACATGATACCCTACTTAAACAAACCCTAGATGGCCGAAACTCATACTTGAACAAAGCTTCATTTAAACTCCTATGTTGTTCTAAGTTTTAGATGGCCGAAACCCATACTTAAACAAACCTTCATTTAAACTCCTATGTTCTTCTAAGTTTTAGTTAATAGAATAAGGATGCATTCGAAGAAGAATAGTGCTTCCAAAGTATATATTGTATTTTCTGGTAAAAGGCCAGGAATATACTACTCATGGAGTGAATGTTCTCCTATAGTTATTGGGGTTAAGCGTAGCATCTTCCAGTCTTTCAAGTCTCACGATGTGGCCATATTGGCGTTCGATGAATTTGAAAAATCTGCTGAAGGTAAACAAAAACTCAAATATATGGTGTTTGTTGTTTTTTGTGGTAAGAAGCCGGGAATATACAAAAGTTGGTCTGAGTGTGTTAAAATGCTTGTTGGAGTCGAGGGTAGCTACTTTCATGCTTTCCAATATTATGATGAAGCCTTAAAAGCTTTCAACCAATTTAAAAAAATAAGTTTTTCACAGGAAGTGTCATCTTCAAGCTCGGCCGTTGAAAAAAGTGAAGAAGTGGTAACAAATGAAAGTGCAGCAAGTGCTATTTCATATACTATGTTAGTGAGCATATTTATTGGGTTGAAGCTGTCTGAAAATGTTGGAAAGTAATTATGTCAATTTTAGTTCATATGTTATCTTGTGTTTGAAAAGTATTTGTTATTTCTATTTGGTGTGCAAGAGTTGATGACTTTGTTTTTACTTTTGAATATCAAGTGTTGTAATGAAGTTGGCATGATTATTTTATGTTTAATTTTTTCATTATCTATGAAGTTCGAATTTTGTGACTTCTTTAGCATTTCGATCATATTTAACCTTTGGTGTTCGAATACTATTCAATTACATGCAAGGGGCTTATTTGCTTGATTGGATTTTTGGGGATTACAAGTTCGCAGGTTAACTGCAGTTGTATGTATGATGAATTTGTCAAATCTAATATAGTACTTGTTTGAGGAGAGGGTATTTGGTCTAACTTTTCTCCATGTTCTTGCACATCTTTTAATTTGTTACAACCTTGTGACAACCTCAATTAGCAAGAATAATTAGGTGTTGTTTTTTCCTTTCCCCATCAATTCTATAGTATTTCCTAGACCTTGTGTTATTTATAAACCCTGTTGGTATTAGTTTTGTAACTTGGTCTTTTTTCATCATTGTGATGCCTTAGTAAATTAGTTTTTTAAATTTGGGATGTTAAGGGGATCATTCAGTGATACTTTAGAGTATTTGGGGACCCTTTATGAGGCAGGAGTAAGAGCTGCAAGAGGAAACTTTTGATAGTACACATTTTACATTTTGGTATTGTGAATATATATGTTACTTTACAGAAGAAGTGATTTAAGTCGATAAAGGATTGAAGGAGTATTTGTATATTTTCTTTTGGTTCCATAATAACATTAACCAAGGATTAAAGGAAGCAAAAATATTTTAAAACATGTAGCAATAAAATGAATCAAAAGTATATGAAACAAAATAAATACTAAATAAGCATTTTCATTGATTAATTGATAATTTTCAACATATTCCAAATAATATTTGGAAAATACTTTTAACAAACAATGTGTAACGACCCGACCGGTCGTTTTGAGATCTAGCGCGTCGTTCAGCAGTTTGAGGCCATGAGCAGCTTCACTTCAGGTATTATAAATTGTCCGCGTGGTCGGAATTAAATTCCGGAAAGTTAGGAGTTGATTTGGAAAGAGAATTCTCATTTCAGAAGCTTTAAGTTAAAAGAATTGACTAAGGTTGAATTTTTGAGTGAACGACCTCGGAATCGGGATTCGAAGGTTCCAGCAGGTTCGTATGATGATTTCAGACTTGGACGTATGTTTGGACTGGGTTTTGGAAGACTCGGAAACATTTCGGCGCCTATTGTGGTAGTCAACATTTTTGGAGGAATTTCATAAGTTTGGGTTGAAGTGCATTTCAGTGTTATCAATGCATGTTTGGGGTTCTGAGTTTGGGAATAGCTCCGTATGGTGATTTTGGTGTTTGGAGCACGATCGAAAGTGAATTCGGAGGTCCGTAGGTCATTTTGGAGTCATTTGGCTAAAGATAGGAATTTGAAGGTTTTTGAGAAGTTTAACCGGAAGTGGACTTTTTGATATCGGGGTCGGAATCTGATTCTGAAAGTGGGGGTAGGTCCGTAATGTCGAATATGACTTGTTTGCAAAACTAAAGTCAATTGGACATGATTTGATTGGTTTAAACATCGAAAGTAGAAGTTTGAGATTCAAAAGTTCATAAAGCTTGGATTGGAGGTCGATTAATGATTTTAGTGTTGTTTGATATGATTTGAGGTCTCGAGCAAGACCGTAATGTGTTTTGGGACTGGTTGGTATGATTGGTTGGGGTCCCGTGGGCCTCGGGTGGATTTCGGGAGGTTAACGGATCAAATTGGAACTTGAAGGATGAGCTGAAGGGGTCTTGTTGCTGGTGTAACCGCTTCTGTGGAGGGTTCACCGCAGAAGCGACCCCGCAGAAACGAGGAAGGGAACCGTAGAAGCGAAGGAGTCAGTGGCCGCAGGTGTGAATGAATCCCGCACCTGCGTGATCGTAGATGCGGTTGGTACGGCGCAGAAGCAGTCTGAGGCAGCTGGAGGAGGACCACAGAAGCAGTATTGGAACCGCACCCGCGAAACCGCAGAAGCGGTCAAGAGACCGCAGGTGCGGAAATGCTGGAGGCAGTGCAGTTCTTTTAAATCGGGGGTTGGGTTCATTTCAACCCTATTTCTTCCATTGGAGCCGATATTGGAGCAACTTTGAGGTACCATTTTCACCACCAAGCATGAGGTAAGTAATTTATGCTAGTTTTTAGTTAAATACATTGATTGTATGCGGACTTGAGCATGAAAATTTGGTAGAAACTTGGGGTTTGAGGGAAACCTAGAAAATTGATATTCTTGGATTTTGACCACGATTTTGGGTATGAAATTAAGAGAAAATTATATATTTGAGTTTGTGAGTTCATGGGTAAACTTTATCTTTGAAAAATTTCGGAATCCGGGCATGTGGGCCCAAGGGCAATTTTGTCAACTTTTCGATCGGGGTTAGGAATTGTTATAAATTGGATCATAGGGGTAATTGAGTATATATTAATGGATTTGTATTATTATTGGCTAGCTATGGAGCTTTGTTCATCGATTCGAGTCGTCGGGAGAACGTGGAATGCCGATTATGGATCTTCGGAGCGAGGTGAGTCTCCTTTCTAATCTTGTAAGAGGGAATTGTCCCCATAGGTGAAATAATTAAATATGTGCTCCTATTTATGGGGGCTACGTACGCACGAGGTGATGAGAGTCCGTGTGTAGTTACTATTATGCTATTGTCCGGGTAGTCTAGGACCCAAAAGCATGCTATACTTGGAATATCTGTAACCTTATTGATAGTTGATTGCTTAAATCCTATCGAATTGGTAAATGGATTTCTAAAAAGAATTAAACATCAATTTTCTAAATTGTTAAAAGAGATTTGGTTTTCTTTGGATAATTATTTCGTGATGACTTCTTGATTGATTGTCTGTGCCTTTTTAAATTCTGGAACGGGCCGAACGCCTTGGCAGATTAAATAGATGCATCTATGGTTCGCGCCATTCGATCCTCTGGCAGTGCACAGTTTAAATATTGTTGGATCAGGCCGTATGACCTCAGCATGATTTGCGAATGCTCGTATTACCTGCCTTGAGATTTATTGGTATGGATATTTGCTCCCCCTGACTTGTGATAATTGTTATTTAATAGATTATTAATCCGGAGATTTTTTTAATATAAAAAAGGACCTTTTACCTGTTCGTGACTTATTTGAAATTACTGCTATTCCTAATAAATCCATGATTATTCGCATTGATAATATATTACTATTGGACCACTAGTAAGTGTCGAAGTCGACCTCTCGTCTCTACTTCTTCGGGATTAGACGGGATACTCATTGGGTACACGTTGTTTTCGTACACATACTACACTTGTTGTGCATTTTTGTTGCACAGGTTTATGTGGGGCTCAGTGGCATAGTGGCATGGTTAGTACGAAGACTTTGGTGAGATGCATTTTCGAGATGCCCCGCAGTCGGCAAAGCCTCCTTCAGAGTATTGTATTGTATTTTCATTTCTGTCCACTTGTATCTCGGACAATCACAATATTTTATTTCATTCACTCGTGAATGCTCATGCACTTGTGACACTGGGTTCTAAGATGATCATGAGATTTTTTAGTAGTTAAATTTTGTAAAGACATTCTCATATATCTAGCGGAGTTTATTATTCATTATTTATTTGTTTAAAAGAAATGATTTCAAAATGATTAAAATGAGAAATTGCTAGTAAATTGTGGTTGGCTTGCCTGACAGTGGTTTCCGGCGCCATCACGACCCTTAGTAGATTTTGGGTTGTGACAACATGGTACAAGAGCACTAGGTTCCCTTAGGTCTCACGAGTCATGATCAATTCTAGTAGAGTCTCGCGGATCGGTATAGAGACGTCTGTACTTATCTTCGGGAGGCTGTAGGGCTATTAGGAGTACTTCCCTTCTTGATTCCTCATCGTTAGGTTTGATTCTTTTGAGGCTTATGCCTTTGTTTCTTTCCTACTCAATCTTATGCGACGTGAAGCGCTTATTATAAATCAGGAATTGAGAAAATGTAATGGTACTACAGATATGGTGTGGGATGTTCCTCCCTCCATATTTGATTGGGCTATTGTCGCCGCCTTGCGGAAGGTCGTTCTGTCATTTCAGCTCAGTTTCAGTATTACCTAAGATTTTGAGATTTGACATTAATTGTTATGACAATTCGTGCGTTGTTATCGCACAATATTGATGTAATGGTAGAGTGTTTGTCTATGCGTTGAAGTAGTGAATGACTTGGAAGGATGTTTACTCAATGCAAGATTCAGAGATTCAGAATTTTATTTTCCAGCGGAAGAGAGGCAATGTCACGACCCAGATTTCCCACCCTCGGGAGTCGTGATGGTGCTTATTAATACGAGCTAGGCAAGCCAATTATTTGAACAATTTACCTTTTTACCCATTTTATATTCATTAACAATTTCGAAGTAATAACATTTAAACAACGAAATTTAACATAAGCGGAAGAAAAAGCAATAAGCTATCAGAACATGAATCCAATACAACTGTTTGAATCTCGACTACCCAAAACTGGTATCACAGTTTCACAGACGGTCTAAGAACATTACAAATAAAGGTCTGAAAGAAATAATTACAACATTGTCTCTGGAAATGCATGAAAGAAATAGTAGATGGAAGGAGATGCCAAGGCCTGCGGATGCCTGCAGGACTACCTCAGGTCGCCTGATGAACAAGAATCAGCGATCCCACCGCGGTCCGAAGTCCACAACACTGGGATCTGCACAAAAGAGTACAGAGAGTAGTATCAACACAACCGATCCCATGTGCTGGTAAGTGCCTAGCCTAACCTCGGCGAAGTAGTGACGAAGCTAGGACCAGACTACCAAATAAACCTGTGCAATTTAACTATATACAACAGAAAAGAAGTACAGAAAGAAACATTCATATACAATCAAGTATGGGAGGGGGAAAGCATGCTGCGGGGAAACATCGAATAGTAACAGAAGAGCAACAAATAAGTATGATGATCGCCACAGTTCTATTGAAAATAGGAAGGGGAAATCATGCTGCGGGGTACAACAAGTATCAACAGGAAATCAGCAATTCAGTGTAGAGGAACCGTAACACAATTATCAATAAAATTAGGAAAATCAAAGACAAGTGCACGACATCATCCTTCGTACTTTTACTCTCTCTCACCAAGACAATACACAACATTACCCTTCGTGCTTTAACACTCTCTCACCAAAATAATACACGGCATCACCCTTTGTGCTTTACACTCTTCTTCACCCAAACAACAATCACAAGGCAAATAGGGTAAGGGAATCTATAACATCGAAATAAAATCAAGTATCAACAGAAAATCAGTAAATAAATGCAAAGGACAACATAACTCAATTATCAGTAAGAATCAGGTAAATCAAAGACAAGTGCACGACATCACCCTTCATGCTTTTACTCTCGTCCTCACCATAAGAATCAATATAAATTGCACTGTATCACCCTTCGTACTTTTACTCTCATCCTCACCATGAAATCAATATAATAGGCACAGAATGGTACATCGTGCGGCACGACATCACCCTTCGTGCTTTACACTCTTTCCTCATAAAACAAATAATGCACGACATCAACCTTCGTGCTTTAACTCTCTTCCTCACCCAAGCAACAATCACAAACAATAGGGCAAAGAAATAAGGGAAATTTGCAATAAGAATCCTGGCAACGGAGCAACAAGTCAATAATTAAATCCCTGCAAGGGAGCAACATCAATAATGTCCACATCCCGGCAAGGGTGACAACATAATGATCTCTTATCTTTCTTACTTTTACTTTACAATTCACTTCACAACTTGAGCCAATGCCCTAGAGGTTCAATTATCACTTATACCTTAACAACTCATTTCACAACTCGAGCCAATGCTCTAAAAGTTCAATTGTCACTTACACTTTCACAATTCATTATACAACTTGAGCCAACGCTCCTCAATGATCATGGTTCACAATTCTTTCCACAAACTTTATACAATAATTAGAAATCTTCACCAAGGAATGAATAATACAACGAAATCATGAAAATCACAATATAAGACTCACGGTCATGCTTAACACCAACGTATAGATACTCGTCACCATGCCTATACGTCGTACTCAACAATTACCACATAGCAAATAAGACTCAACTCCTAATCCCTCAAGCTAAGGTTAGACTAAACACTTACCTCGATACCTCGAACACAACTCAAGATTCAATTATAGCTTTACCCCTTGATTCCACCACCAATTTTCTCATATCTAGTCACAAGTTACTTAATTACATCTATAAGCGCTAAATGAATCAATTTGAATGCATGAAAATGAATTTCCCAAAGTTTTGCCCAAAAAGTCAAAAATCGCCCCGGGCCCATATGGTCAAAACCCGAGGTTCAAACCAAAACACGATTATCCATTCCCCCATGAACCCAAATATATAATTTGTTTTAAAATCGGACCCCAAATCGAGGTTCAAATCCACAATTTTTGAAAAACCTAGGTTCTACAAAAAATACCCAATTTCCCCCATGAAAATCATTGATTTGAAGTTGAAATCATATTAAAAGATGTTAAGAATTGAAGGAAGTTAGTTAAAAACGACTTACAATTGATTTGGAGAAGAAGAAATCCTTGAAAAATCACCTAAGTGTGTTTATGTTTTGAGAGAATATGAAAAATGGGTTTAAAATTGTCTAAGTATAAAAGTTGCAGGTCTCTGATATGGGAATTGCGAACAGGGGTTCGCAATTGCGAACCCCGACCTCTGTTGGCTTGGTAATTGCGAACATGGGTTTTGGAATTGCGAAGCTGGGAATTGCGAACATGGGTTTGGGAATTGCGAACATGAGTTTGGGAATTGCGAAGCTGGGAATTGCGAACATGGGTTTGGGAATTGTGAACATGAGTTTGGGAATTGCGAAGCTGGGAATTGCAAACATGGGTTTGGGAATTGTGAACATGAGTTTGGGAATTGCGAAGCCTGCAGGCCTACAATTCCTTAAGTCCAAAATTTCACCCCGTGGTCTATCCAAAACTCACTCGAGCCCTCGGGGCTCCAAACCAAATATACACACAATCTCAAAAACATCCTCTGAACTTATTCGTGTACTCAAATCACCAAAATAACATCATGAACATCGAATTAAACCTCAAGATCAATGAAATTTCTCAAAACTTCTTTACACATCAAATTTGCATTTAAGGTCCGAATCACGTCAAATGGATTCCGTTTCTTACCAAACTTCACCGAATTATCTTAAATCATATATAACACCTATACCGGGCACCAGAACCAAAATACGGGCTCGATACCAACATGTTCTAATCAAAATTCATTTCCAAACCTTATAAACAATTTCATAAAATAATTTCTTTCAAAAATTCATTTCTCAGGCTTGGGACCACGGAATTAGATTCCGGGCATACACCCAAGTTCCATATTTTCCTACGGACCCTCCGGGACCGTCAAATCACAGGTCCGGGTCCGTTTACCCAAAACATTGACGAATTCAAATTAATTCATTTTATAGTCAAAACTTATCATTTTTCATAGATTTTCACATTTAAGATTTCCGGCTACTCGCCCGGACTATGTACGCAAATCGAGGTGATGCTAAAAAGAGGTTTTTAAGGCCTCAAAACATAGAATTACATGCCATCGGGCTATAAATGTTTAAGTTTGGTTTGATGGAGTAACGAGACTTGGTATTTTTGAGCGTGGTGGAATTTTCATCTATAACATGGTATCGTCGTCCTTGATTGAATATGTTGAGTTCACCGGTGTTATGGTTTTCTTCAATTAGCCTTTGAGGTAGGATATTGTGGAACAATAATGGAGAGGCGACTGTTAGAGATCGCGATGTGCGATGGTTCAGGATTGAATCGATATATCTAGTGTTGATGGCCTAAGAAAGATGACCTCGGGTAGATTTAAAGTTAGTAGCAGTTCGTGGGTTCAAGCGCTACGAATATGGATTTTATTTAAGGCAACAATTGAGCAGCAAAGGATGAGGAAGGACATGTGGGGAGTGTCAAGCGGTGGTTAAAATTTCTAGAAGGCCAGGTATAAGAAGCAAAGGTTGAGTGGTCGATTAGAGGGGTGAGTTCTGCCAAAGTGGGAGAGTGGTGGAGTTGAATATGGGCTTTGTGTTAGGATGACTACGCACATTAAGGAGAGTTTGGAACGACTTGGGAATTTTAGTGATTGATGATTGTGGTCTATGGATCTAATTTGAAGTATGGGCAATTATGTGGCAGGAGATTTGATCTAACGGAAAGGGGCTACTTGAAATGAAGAAGGATACAACATAACTTTGAATTAGAAGAATGTTGCCGCACATTTAATTAATGTCCACGAGGGGTGAATGGACTTGTGCAGCTAGAGAGTGAGCTCGAACTAAGGATGGGTTATTGATGTCATAGT